GAGAGATGTGCAAACATCCTCTTAGAGTAGCTTCTAGTGCAAGCTGGAACTGGTGGTCCCAGTCTAGCACTAGAAGTCTTTCCTACAATTAAACCTGTCTGGCAGGGGTGCATTCGCGATTTGTCCTCAGACCGCGCGCGTGATGAACGTAACCATCACACTATTCTGCCACCGATCACATATCTTTTTGGAGTTATCGCAACACGGCACGAACTCATCGTCAATGAGGATGTATAGGCGTTTTGGCTACGGAAGCGTGTCAGTTGGACTAGGATTGGCGCTGTGCTATGCTTTTCTTTACCGATTGTCCTCGAATGCAAATTTGGTGGGAAACGACGCCCTGCGAAACGCAGCTCACCTGACATGGATGCGCACAACTGGAAGCTCTCATTGGTTTCGATTGACAATCTTCAAACATGATGTTAAGTTGTGTTCCTACTACCTGCATGCTCCGGCAACATATTTAATTATGCTCCAACCATCGTCACCCATTTGAGTGAGTCACTTTCTGAAAGCTAAGGATTCATTGAACGGGCATATTTGTGAGAATTGTATTTGTTGAGGAGTACTTCCGAAATGTCCTATGACACGTGACGATTCGCTGTCAACGATGCGGGCTGTGTTCTACGCTGGCCACAACGCCTTCCGCCAGAAGGTCGCAATAGGTGAAAAAGTGGCCGATATCGAGTACAATAACTCTCCCCGTCTGATGTCAGGAATGGTAGGTCCTCCTTTCAGCATTTTGAAGACAGACCCGAACTCAAGCAATTCGTGATCGTCCACTCTTGTGCAAGAGTTCATCCCAGACTCAGAGGTTCTCCCTCATTCACTACGCTCCTGTGAGTGAGGGGGGGGGGTGCCAGCCGTAGAAGTTTTGAGAACTGACGTCCGCTTTAAAGGCACGGTCCGCGATCAGGTATCGAAGTTGAAAATATTGGCGTATGAGATGTGGGAGATGGAGGTAATTGGGCACGTACAAACTGGGATCAAAATGGGGTTCTATCTAGGGCAGGTGGCATGTTTTTTGTGCTTTTTTTCTTCACTGTCGAGTTACTCAACCCCTTGTCGTCTATATGGAACCCCCTAATCCACTAGCTGGGATGGCGATAATCGCGGATTCTGCCTTTAATGAAAGCACCTACCAACGAATTTCTCTAAGAAACGCTTAGTTGTTGTTCGATAGGGCGGCAATTAGTCCTAAGTGCTTGTCCGTTTGCCGATCGTGCCTGTGGTCATGAGTAATTCTATTTTCGTCTAACACTTTCTGTCATGTGGTGCTTATACAGTCGAACAGTTCATTTCGCCAGGTTAATCACTGATGAAGTGATTGCTTTGGTGCAGTGGTTCGTCAGACGGCACATTCACTCTCAATTTTATACAAGACGCATCCCAGGGCTGTTTCCTGTATTCGATTTGTCTCTTAATCGGGTCTCTCATTGTATTTTCACTGCTAAATGATATTTAGGTATCATGATATCGAAGTGATGCGAACGAAGGATAATTCAGCCTTCTGCGGGACGATATAGCTCTGCTATCTTGAAACGAGCCCACATGGAGAGGCGGTGGGGCTGCTGGAGATCCTTATTTAGGGAGCGCCTGATTTTTTTGCTATACTCACCCTTGAATAGTACCATAAGTTCTTCATCGAAAGCAGCTACCCACGCAATCGCTGGCTTTGACCTTCAGAACTCTAAAGGTTTTAGAGTGTTCCGCAATGATAAGGTCAAGAAATGTAGAACTGCTGAAAAAATACACAGCACCATTGGAAAAAAGTGGTGACTATAAAAAGTGAGGAGCAGATGACAGCTCATATGCTCCTCACATTCTCTCATTGATTATTTGTCACACAAACATGGTGCACTTCACTATACGAAATGATTATATCGCAAACGAAGGAGTGCGCGCGGAGTGCCGGGAATTTGAGTGCAGTCAAATCAGCTTTTCTAACGTACGATGCCATGCTGATCCAGGAGAATGTGGGGAGAGGGGAACGCTATCCTAGCCGCTCTTCTCGAACAGCAATGAACCTCGTACTGTACAGTGAAACAACGATGAATGCACTATGAGCTTGGTTCGGCTTGGCATTGAATGGGTGGAAAAAGCTTAGTTTTTCGAAAGAAAGTAAAAAGCTCACAAATGTACATTCACCTGCAGACATACGATTGCGACCTGGAACAAAGGGCGAGGGAAGTGCTAAATTATGGTCCAAACTATCCAATGAGCGGATATTCCATCAATTACAAAGAAGGGTAGCGACTTGTTTCTCATCACTTCTTTCCAGAAAACTATTTTGATATCATTTAGCCCAGTTAAATAAAGGCTGCTAATTGGATGTATGAGTTGGCAGAATGTGGTGGACGAATGGACCAAAGAGTACGACTCAAGGACACGAGTAAGGTCTACCGTACACTCATCAGCTGCTTTCATATGGATCCTTCTAAATTTTCCAGCTTATGCACCCATATGCACCTTATATGGGATGTGCCTATAGGCACCCGGCGGGACCTGATGGAAAGAGCCTTTGGTTCAAACTAGCCTGCGTCTACACGAATGATCGGTTTGTGATCATATATGAAATCAGAGAGTTGTCTGTTTTGAATACCATCTTTCCAGTCCCAGAACCGATGTACCCAGACGGGAATGGCATGCAACAAGAAAGAAGACTGCTTATATTTCGGACATGATTACGATTGCCTCGTCAATCTTTGTTTTGCTCCAACTCGTACTGCTATTTATAATTGATTTCTCGAAGTCCTTTCAATAGGATTTGACCGGAGAAACTTTTCATAGTTCGCTTGCCTTTGCCTATTGCTTTCCACTCTACTTATGATCGACCCAGTAGTAGGTGATGGTTCTGCAAGGAAATAAAGACTCATCTTGACATCCAATGATCTGGTGATGTTTAAATGCCACGTCTAGTAATGGAAGGCGTGGACTGGCTCTTGATTCATTAGGTTGGCAGGAAAGCTTTGTCACACTTCTTTAGATCTTACTTCCTTTTTAAAGAGAGGCACACAAGACAAGATAATACGGCAATGTTATTGCGAAGTCCTTGCCAGTTTTTGAGCACTTCGTGGATGCCATCGCTTCACAATGCAAGCCGGCCCGACGCAATGTTGGACATCATCTCAAATTCGACGTTGGCTCGAGTCGTATAGCTTTTCTTGGCCAAACAACGATTAAGTACGGGAGGCATCTAGCAGTCAGAAAGAGTCTAGTACTTCCTGCTCTGGGGTAGCAGTCGAAAACAGTTCATGTCGAGAGGTTATACGAGCTCAGCCACTGATGATGTAATGGCTGTGGGGCAAAACTCCGCCAGATGGTATTTTCCACTTTCAACTGTACCGGGCGCATTCGAAGGCTATCTCTTGTGATTGGTTTAGTTTCCGAATGGTGTTTCTCACTAAGTTTTCACTACTGAATGATATTTAGCTCAAAGTGGCGATAAGTTATCCTTCAGGCGGTACGATATAGCTCTAATCCTGAAACGGGCAGCCCGGGAAGGGGTGGCTGCTGCAGATCCTCATTCGAAAATCCCAAATTTTCGCTTCCCTCCCCCTCGATATGGACGTAATAAGCAGCTATTATGGAGTCCACAGTAAGCATGAATCTAATCTACACCGCACAGCATATCATGCCGTGCGGTGTAGATTAGATCCACACAGCGATTCTCTCTACCGAGAGTTTCCAAGAAGAATTGAGGATTCCCAACACACTCATTCAAAACTGCAGCGGGGTATACAATAGCGAATAATGGTTGCAAACTTCGTAAACCGTGATTTCCACCTATTCGGGCCCTTATGGCTTTCCCATGTTGGGTGAAACAACGCATTTATTAGAGCACTCGAGTTTATTTAGACCAAATCCCTGTGAGTAGAGTTGACAATTCCTCTGGAATCCTGCCGTATAAACCTATGAAATGTCTAGAGTTTCTCTTGTACAGAAATTTCGGCTGGGTACGTTAAGTGCAGGAAGGTGCTCAGAAGCCGGAGGGAATTTTCAGGTTGGCACTGGTTTCCCTCCATGTTGGCTTTGGGAGGAAATGCAAATAAAGGCGAAAGAAACAGCGAACCTAAGAAGTGGGGAGGCGTGGCGATCCACCTTTTGGGGGGGGGGTCGTATGGACTTGACCAAAATCCCCACCAACCAATGATGTGCTCTGGTTTGACTTTTAAGTTTTCCCGCAACGTTAAGGGTAAAAAATGCAGGACAACTGGAAATACTCAGCAACGTTGAAAGAAGAAAGATGAAGTGCAGGTGACAGTTCTCATGGTCCTATGCTCTTATTTACTATTGTCACAAAGGGGTGCTTTCCTTCACTCACGATGCCATCCTGGGCCAGCAGCAGATGGTGGAGAACCTGCCAGCTGCTCTTTTTGAATAATGAAAAAAAACCTGGTGCTATGAAGTGGAGTAACGAAGGCATATGAGCTCGGTGAGGTTTGGCAAAAAATGTGAAAAACAGTTAACAAATTCACAGTCACCGCAGACATACGATTGCGATCTGGCTATCGTTGAGCTGCATTCCCCGTCAACTACAAAAAAGGGTAGCCTTCTATGATCACTATATTCACGAGAACTTAGTTATGATCCTCTAGCACACAGTTAAAAAGAGCTGCTAATTGCATGTCTGGGTTGGCAGACGTGGTGGACGAATGACCAAAGGGTACGATTCAAGGACACGAGTAGGGTCTACCGTACACTCATCAACTGCTTTCATGTGGATCCTTCTAAATTTTCCAGCTTATGCACCCATATGCACCTTATATGTGATGTGCCTATAGGCACCCACCGGGGCCTGATCCAAAGACCCTTTTCAAACTAGCCTGCGTCTACACTAGTGACCGGTTTGTGTTCATACATGAAATCAAAACGTTGATTGTTTTTGAAAACCGCATCTTTCCTCTCAGAGCCGATGTACCTCAGACATGGCACCATCAAGAAGGCAGACTGTGGATATTTCGGAACATGGTTTTTATTGCCTCACTAATCTTTGCTTTGCTCCAACCCGCACTGCTATCTATAATTAGTCTGTCAAAGTCATTTCAGTAAATTTGAACGGAGAAACTTTTCTTACGATTGCTTGCCTATGCCGATTGCTTTCCACTCTACATGAAGCGGTTGTAGTCGGTACTGGTTCTGCGCGGAAATAAAGATTCATCGCAGACGTGGCTTGGTATGCCATTTAAAAGGGGCGATGTTGGGCTTCCAGGTATATTGCCTCTTGAAGTGATC